CGTTCATTCATAATAAACTAGTTCTTCAACAATTTCAATACCATTGCATTGAGAATCATATTACCATTGAATTGTTTTTTTTTCTTTGTAAAATAACCGTGGGTGATCGGGCCAGTTTACGCGCACTTCGACTAATCCCATGAGGTCCTGAAATTTATAGTCGGATACTCACCTCAGTAGCCTGAGAGGACTCGAACTAATAATCATTGAAGAGCAAACACAATGCCCGACAACTGAAGTACCCCTTAGGTTTCATATTAACATTGGATTGAGATTAATATAATTCAATATGTCATTCAAGACCAGTAATTTGTCCTATTTCAACCTAAGTGCAGAACATGATGATTAACAAAACGGATATACAACAACATTGGACATAATATTACTAACTTTTCTACCTTGTAATATCTAGCAGACATGCTGAGTCTTCCAATATCCAGAAACAAATTCACAGATTGCTCCAGGCATGATATTGACTCTGCAAAGCATCACACGTGAAAAAAGAAAGATATCTTCCAAGCTTGAAAATGGAAAGGCAAGTAACAAAGGTAAAAGACAAACTACCGCACAAAGAAACAAGAACAAAAAGTGAATGATGAATATGACATCGAACAAATTAATAAGGGATCGACTACATTCATTTTTGCCAGTAATCTTTTCACCATGTTTTCATAAATACAAAACAACCTATTGAAGCCCAAACCCGAGGAAGACAAAAAATGAAAAAAGCTGCCTTGATTGCCTAGATCTTACATTTTTTATTTGGTAATACATAAATAATGTTCTCTAATTTTTTTGAGCAAATTAGTGTCCAAATTAGCATTTTTAGCAAATTAAGTTTACAAAACTCAATACAAATACAGTAAGTGTAGTAATTACCAAATGAAGCAAATCACAGTCGAAATCTCTCTATAAATTGAAAAGCAGTCAAAACTCCAAGGTCATTGATAACTTTAATAAACTGGGGATAAAAAGACCAGAACCTTTTGTGTTAGTCTTTTTGTAGCAATGAGCAGCATCAGCGTACGCATTAGCAGCCTCATGCTTGCTATCCAGCTGCATATACAAAGCCAGGTAAAAATATAGACGTGAACCATTGGGGAAAAATGTGACAGGAAAAAAAAAAAAAATGTGTTGCAGACAGCCAACCAATGACATACCTTCAAGTGACAAGTAGCCAACTTAACATACACTGCACCAGCCTGATCCCCTGATAAACTCACATTTCAAAATTACACGTAAGATCACCACATACCACATTAGTGAAAACGTTTTCTTGAGACTGGTTTTTGTGATTTTCATCAAATTTTGCTAAATATGGGATGGTAGTCTAGTTCTTCATATTTCAAAATGGATACAGCTAACAAGAGATTAAAATAACCGGTCTGAATTCGCGTAGGAATCAAATTCTAAAAACTGTGAACCTGATCTCGAGAAAACCAACATGCACGCAGTGGCCAACATTATTGTTACCACCAACTAAAGTAATCGGTAGGTTAGGAGAAGCTAAAACTGAAGAAACTAAATGATAGAGCTATCCATTCGTTCCAACTCCCCTTACTATTGATTAAACTTCAGTTTTTCCAAAATAACACTTTACATCACCAGTCAATTCCAACAAAATATAAATAAATGAAAACCCTATAGCAATTAAAACAAATCAATATCAAGATCGCATCAGTGCATCTATTAAAATCAACATAGAGACATAACAAATCATATTAAAAAACCGATTAAAAATAGTGGGGAAATTCAGATTAATCAAATTAATTGTCTTACAGGATTTGCCAAGCTTGAACGCATTGGCAGCTTTGTCGAATAAATCGGCAGCGTCTTCATATTTGGAGCCAAAGAGACCCCATCCGCTCAGCTTTTTCTCCGCTTTCTTCTCGAATTCTTCTCCTCGTGCGATTTGATCGGCCATTTTTCTCCACCGCTTTTCTTCAAGTAAGCGATGGTGATTTTTATGATGATCGAAGAAATGCGAAATAAATTATACGGGGTAAGATGAAAAGGGAGGTGAAAATATCAAAAAGTAAGGGAGGTCTGGGATATTTTGCTATTGACAAGTTTCGTTTCATCGACTTTTCAGTTTTGACCAAAGACTAACCGTGTTGATATCTGAAAGGCCCGTTAAAAGCCCAACAATTTCAGGCCCAGCTTCCGGTAATTTTACACGAAAATAGCAAGTAGAAATTACGCGGCCACAGGTACCTAAAAATCATTTTTCATATTCCAGGGTTGAAGTTTACTTGTGCAGTTTTCAGGTTTTAAACATTATAATTAAATATTAAAATCTTTTAATTAAATGATGCACATATCGCATGAA